GAGATCCCTCAGGAGACCATCCGCCACCTCATCAGGAGCATGCCCAGGCGTTGTAGGGAGGTCATACGGGCACGTGGAGGCCACACACACTACTGAACCTCATTTTGACTTGTTTTGAGGACATTACATCAAAGTTGGATCAGCCTGTAGTGTTGTTTTCCACTTTAATTTTGGGTGTCACTCCAGATCCAGACCTCCATGGGTTGCTAAATTTGATTTCTATTGATAATTTCTGTGTGATTTTGTTGTCAGCACATTCAACTATGTAATGAACAAGGTATTTAATAAGAATATTTCATTCATTCAAATCTAGGATGTCTTATTTTTGTGTTCCCTTTATTTTTTTGAGCAGTGTACAATGGACACCGCACCATCACCACTTCCTTCCACTGTGCAAAATAAAGCCAAAATTTTATGAATACAGTGGCTGCCATCTTGCTTTTTTGCAACCATATTCTGCACAGTATTGACCAGAAGTGGAGTGGCCGCATCAGAACACCAATCAAAGGTGTAACATCAACTGAAATGCACCTCTTTTTATATAACTGAATAACTTATTAAACAAACATACCAGAAAAAATGATCATATCTACCAAAGAGAAAATCACCTCTATGAAAAATGTATTTGATTTGTACATTGAATTCTAAGTTTGGCTCATGTCCCATCCACTAACATAGAAGAGGCAGGAGTTATACTGCAACCAGCCACCAGGGGGCGATCAACTCATGATGGCTTCACTTCTGGGAGCTGTCGGCGTGTCCATCCTATATACAGTCCCTGTGCAAATACAACAAAGCCTTGACTGTAGCTACAATCCACAGACTACAGTGGAAACATCATCATTTCTTTCCCCCTTTCTCTCCGTTTCTCTCTCTGATCCAGCTGCTCATTTGGCAACGGAGCAAAGAAATAAATGAAGTGCTTCAGCGGAAGGAAGGCTTCACTGGGGGAAGGGTTCTGGGTAGAGGGAGTGAGATGAGGATTTGGTAAGGGGCTTTAAAGACAGTTTATTTAAATGAGTGTCTTCTTTTTTGGCTTGTGAGACATTAGGTTTGTCCAATTATGCTTTCAGTGGCTGTTGGTGTAATCAATGTGAGTCCTTGGATGTTATTTTCTTTGTAACGCTAGAGGGAATAACTGGAATTTGAAAAGCAGTGTTTATTCTTTTAAGTATGAAAGAAGACAATATGCAGTCATGTTTAACAGACAAGCAACCTGAACAGAAACCTAAAAAAGGTGAGAATGAAGGGCAGCTGCCTTGCTTCATATTGAGAATATTAACTGGTCAATAATGAAACTAGTGCATTAGTTATAACATCTGATCTATAACTGATAAGCTGTGTATCTGATGACAGGCTGTTGCGTGGGTTTTACTTGCTGTTGCTTTTCCTGCAAAGGGGTCACCTTAGGCAACTATCTGCAGTGAGACAACTCAAATACCATGAAGAAAAAGTTTTGACTTTTTTGAGCTCCCAAGATGAGAAGATTGATTTTGTGCCTTTTCGCAGAGAGTGACAGTGGAGACATGGGAGGAAACTAGGTAGAAAGAGAGATGCAATAACGGTCCATGGCTGGATTCAATCCATCTTAACCCCCCTCCACCATACTGCCTACACCTCATATCCATGTTACCATAATTACCAATATCCCAATTGTAAAAATACTGTAGCATTCACGTCAACATCCAAACTGTAATTACTGGATTTTTTTTTTTCCAATAGCTATCCGACATGGTGCTACAAATTGCAAAGCCTGCTGGTAAACCTAATTAAACTACTCCTACACCACAAAAGTGGGCTAGATCTTCATTTATATTTCATCTTGCAGGTTCCAAACACTGAGGAACGGCTGCAGGGCAAAAAATCTTAAGTTTTTGGCTCCAATTAATAATTTTTATTTTCATCACAGATAAATCTGCCACTTATCTTCTCCATTAATGGATTAATTGTTTAAAATTGTGAAAAATGAACATCATTATTTCCCAGAGCCCAAAGTTATGTGTTCAAACAACTTTTTTGTTTGGCCAACAGTCAAAAATGCAAAGCTATTCAGTTTACCATAATGGAATGCTGATAAAAGGTGTCAAATCTTTACACTGCGGAAGCTAAAACTATTAGATTTTTTTTTTTTTTGAAATTGTCTTGAAGTGGTTAATCAATTACCCAAATAACTGCAGTTCTAAGTGAAGATGTGTTTTCATCAAACAAGAACAGAATAAAATACTGCATTTATGAAGCTGATATTTCAACCTTTACTTCAGAACCATAATGAAATCGTTAGAAATGAGAACAAAGATACTGCAGACAACACACACACACACACACACACACACACACACAGGTGTTTTTCTTTGAACCCACTCCCTTGGTTACTCAGGGATGGCCCGGTTAGTTCCCATGACAACAAATCCCAACATGAAAGTGTGATGAGATGAATCTATTGCTGCTCTGACTGTCAGGACGGGGCACGGTGAGGAGAACGAGTGAATCTGAGGAACCCAATATGAAGCATCCTATTTTCTCTTGCCCTGTGTTACATCACTGAGCTTCATGAAAGATGGAAGCAAGTTCATCTACAGCACAGTGAAGAACTGAACTGTTAGAAAATGACTGTGGAGGACCTGGTTACAGTATTTACACAAAGCTGATCAAAACACTTTGTGGTAACTTTGACAAACATGCTCTGGACGACCAGCTTACTGGGGCTCCACTGTTATTTCTCTTTGTCATAAAGATTTAAAGCCTCAGAGTTCAGCAGCACTCCACAGCAGATCTAGGCTTACAAAAAACACCATAGAGGAAAGCCTCGGTGTACAAATCCGTTTTCACCGTGTGTGTCCTTGAAACAGAGACACAGTCAAATCCAACCCCTGAGGAAATGTACACAACAAGTTGTTTGGCTCTTTGTAACTTTGTCCTTAGACCCTCGAATCAGATCCTTTGGGGGAGGGGGCCTTCAGGAAGAGCAACAGAGGAGGGATCCGTCTTCCAGGACAGACAGACATGCAAAGTCAACAAAGTTAAGGGTGTGCAGCTCTTGAAGTGAGAGACGCAATCCTCTGCGCTCAAGTGGAGATGGTGGAGACTCAGTAAGCAAAATAAAACAAGGTGAAAAGGAGGTTGCACAGTATATTAATATACTATAAATCATAAATACTACAAACCCAGCTCATATTTTTATGGATTCATTTAAAAATACAAAAACAAACATCTACATTTATAAATTGGCACTATTATTTAGATGCTGCTACAAAAGTTTCCTAGCAACCTTGAGACACATTACTAATATGATATTAGACACTCCAGATGTTTAAACAGTGCACTAATTTGGCAAACTGCTAGATTGAAACTACCTAGTTTATGGAGAACTAGACACAAACTTAGTAAGGAATTTATAAATGCAGTAGCTGGTGCAAGCAAATCCTGTTTTCACTAGGACTCGGACAGTGACCTACTGTTTCCATATCAGCCTGGTTACCCACAGACACCACCCCGCCACCTGTAATTACCCAACCTGATGCCACAAACGCCTCTCTGCTATCTGATCAGCCTTTAGACAAGTGACAGATAACACAGGTTTTCACAGCAGATGGTCAAAGATGTTTCTGCAGTATCACTGCACGTGTGTGAACTTAACTGGCCTGAGATGTGTGCACTCTGAGATACCGAACTGGTTCACAAACGAGTGGTTAAAACTCAAACTCTGCTTGCTAACAATATTAACAATGGCTCTGTTCAATTCAAGTGTCCCAGTAAGGCATGAGAGCATGACAGTGAACCAGCATGAACACACTGAAACCAGCGCAGCTCAATGGAATTCAGACATCAGTAATTTTATTATTTCCACCTTCATTCCTACAGTGTCACAGGAACACTTCCTCAGTATCGATGATTCATACTCAGAAAGTAGAACCGAAGTGACACTCATGACAAGATGATTAGCTAAAACATTTAAAAGTGCACCTGCACTGTTTCACATTTTGTGACTTTCAGTTGAATAAAAGACTATTATTCCAGTCATATATTTCGTCGTTGAAGATTTCTTAAAAATTGTTTTAAAATATCTTCTCATCTCATTCTCGTGAACCCAATATCGTGTATTGTCTCATATCATGAGGTAAGTGCATCATCACACCTCTACACTTGTAGACGGTGTATTTGCACTGAGTAACAAATCACTAAATAGCTTCCCCAGTTATAAAACATGGCCTTAACATGACATGACAGAATGTTCTGATAAAACAGCATCAAAATGTATCTTTCAGATCCCTGAAACCCACTCTGCAAGAGGACAACTCAGTGCTCAAAGCTGACAGATCCAGTCCACTTACTACTATACAGTAGCTCTAGAGCAGTATAGGCCTACAGAGATAGCCTACTGTGTCAGAAATGAGAGAGATGTCAGACTGGATTATGGTCTAGGTACAGAGCTTCTTTGTAAACGCCAGGTTTTGTTAAGCTCCATGATGAAGAAGCCCCCTCCTCCTCCTCCTCCTCCTCTCCTCTCTTATTTCCCCAGTGTGCACACTATTAGTCATTGCTCTTAGTGTACTGTTACTGGATCATTAGATACGAGAAGGCGTGAACCTAAGACTTCGCATGCTTCCCTCAAAACAAGAAAAGCAGTGCCAGCTATTATAGACATCTGTAGTGAAAAGTGGGATTTAAGAGCTTTAAATGAAAGCCCAGAGGTTGACCAGTCCTCTCAGCAGTCTGCACGCTGAGATGGTTCATTTACTGTAGAACAGTGCAGGCTGAACGGAGCCTAGTATGGCGGGTGTAAAGATACTGCTAGTGCATGGAAACGTGCATGCAAACAAAAAAAAGGCGTAGGGGGGCAGCGCATGCCATCACTTTTCCAACATATTAAAAGCTTCAATAAAAGCACAAGGATGCAAGGTGGCAGGATAAACGCGCGGAGGCTGGATGGAAACAAAGAAAAGCGTGGATGCGATGCTGAATGAGACAATACATCCCAGAAAGGAAGACAGAGCACCTACCTTGATGTTGTCACACCACTTTCTATCTGAGCATCTTGTTTACTGGAGCACCGCTGATTTCGTTCAGATCCACCAAATTACAATTTTAAAAAAACTGTCCATGAGCATTTCATTGCCAAAAACTGCAACTGTGGAACAAAACAAAAAAACATACTAAAACCTAGCGACTCAGCACAGCTTGCACGCGAAAGGATAACTATATTCTTTACGTTTCCACGGACAAGCTATTATGTCTGCTCCAGTCAGAAAAAGCCTGATGTTGTGTACAATTCCGCGAATAACATTACTACTAACGATAAACTACTGCAAACTGGCGAGTAGAGAGATGTAATCCTCTTCAATTTCCATCGTCCCGCTGTGTTTTGGTGAGGATGACAAGAAAGCAAAGAAAAGGATGCGCTCAGACTGTGCCAATAAGCAAGTCCCTTCACCCTGCAGCTACGGAAGCTCGGATGGTCCATGCAATTCTTTTGCTTTTTATTCCTCACATATTACATGGCCTGGTAATTTGTTAACCGACTTTATTAGAAATACACACACGCAAAAGATACAATAACAATAATAAAACTTTATTTATATTTTACTTCATAACAAACGGATGTGAACTATGCTATTCCACCTTCACTTTTTGCCTTACTCCAGATGGACAGCTGACAATATTTGTTTGTTTGGCTTTGATGACCACATTTTGAAGGTCTGATGGAACGGTATATATGGTTGTATTTCTTACTCAAAAAGTTGACTAATTGATCTTTGGGAACCTGCAGGACTAAGACACTTTTACTCTGTTTATTTTAGCATCACAATAAAATTTACACCTGGTTTGGTCTTTAAAGGTGTTCAAATAATCATGATTATGCTCAATATAATCATTTGATTTTGAAAAAGACTATATTTTATACTCAGTTGTTTGTTTAAAATACTGTTTTAAATAGAATATTAAGCTTACCGCCATTTGGCAGCAATGTAAAATGCTTCTAATAGCTTTGAAATTAATATAAGTGGGTTAACACTGTCAAAATTTGCAGATGTGCCACATGCCAGCCCTATCACATAGTGTTTAACCTCAGGTTGACTTATAGGATTAAGTCTTTTTAAGATATACATTTTGAAGCTTGCTGCGACAGTAACTAGAGTTAGTGAGCTAACATGTTACAGAATCTTGGTCAACCAAGACATGTTTGTCTGTATATTATGGTCATTAAATTTGAGGCCACATGTGTTTTAGCTCAAGTTGATTAGTTACTATGGTATCTTTAAATCAAGAATAACTAAAAGTCACTTGGTATTGATGTAGAATTACTCTACAGTATCAAAATAATACAAACAGTATGGTCTTTTTGTCTATAATTACTGGTTATAAAGATCATTTCTGCAGCCAACAGCAGGGGGATAACACATAATGTAAAAGAAACATCATGACCAATTTCATTTGAGAGAACTACATGGATATGCATGTAAATGAAAAATCTAGCTATAAACCTGCCATGATCTCTTGCTGAATAGACGATACACTAATCAGCCATAACATTATGACCGCCTGCTTCATGCTGTGTACACAGGAGTCACTGCAGCGGTTGGTCCTATATCAATCTGCAGGTCACTGTGCATCTTCTGCGAATCCTTTTGCTTCCATAATTATACTGTCAAGAAGAGTACAGATGTGTTTACCATTCTGTGACAAAATTATGTAAAATGAGTGAAAACTGTGGTCATGAGGACAAGTTCGAGTTTTTTAGACTAATTCAACAGCCTCCCCCACACACTGACAGGTGGCATTGTAATGAGATCATCAGTGTTAATCACATCACCTGTCAGTGGTCATAATGTTATGGCTGATCTGTGTATATTTAACTAGTCTATTACCTGAATTTTCATCATGCACAGTACCGGTTCAATCAGCAGCACATTGTGGTTTTCTGTCCCCTCTAGTGGGAGCAAGAAATAACTGCAGGTCACCCAAGTAGAACCAATATCAGTGCATGACTAAGTAACTGGGTTGGATCAGGTCAGTGGCTCATGACGACTGGACATGTGGATACAAAACAAAAACAGCAAATGGACGAAATCAGAAACAAGATGGTGATTGGACAATTTTATTTTCTCAAGAACATTTAGGAATCCAGGAGGAAGGCCTGTTTATTATTATACACAAAGGAAAAACATTTTCTGATCACTACATCAACATAATGCACAGTGTCAAACACAGTCACTGAAACCCTGGGGTACAGTACCCGGTTCACCAAAGGTATCCTAGACGTTGTCCTAGTAGGAGTTATAAAATAATTAGAAAGGCAAAGATGATCTTGCTGCTTAGATACCTCTGGGAAGCCAGTTCTAGATGTATGATATTCAGCCACCCCACATAAGTTTATATTCTTTCAGAACTTCACAAGAAGGAATGAGGAAATTTTACAAAGGATGTGAGGCCACTCATAATCAGTCATGGTCTGCAATCTCTGCGGAATGATCAATCAAGGATAAATGCGTTTCCATCCACATCACCATCAAACATTAGACCCAGCCCTGCATCATTTCTCACTTGCTGCCCAGCTAACAGCCAACAGTTCAGAAGACTCAAAGAATCTGCTTACCCAGATTTCTATATTAAAATCAACAGGATACAGCTGAAACACTGTACTGCTACCAGCTGACAAGAACAGCCATTCAAACTATGATAAAGTTTTAATGATGGCTTTGTTGTGATGTAGCACGAGTCTAATTTTGTCTGCCATTCAAACTGAAGACTACCCAAACAAGACATGAACGAAACATGGTGGAATGTTCAGAAATAATCTGGGGAAACAGACATGAACAGTTAACATTTTATAGAACATTACCAAATGTCTGCTAACGTGTACATTCCAAACTGAGACGTCTGTGCAAAATAAGGGTATTTAATAATCCAAATCTGTTTATGTAATGAGTCTGCAGCTCTGAGTAGCAGACCACCATAAAATTGAAGTCTGAAGACCAGTCTATACAAAATTATTTTCCCTAAAGACCTCTAGCTCAATAAAGGTGATGCTAAAGCAAATATTAATTACAACACTGGATATTAATAACTGAGCTGCTCTCTAAAATAAAATCCCTTTTTATGTCAAAGAACAATGCCTGGAGAATGGGAAGATAATAGTTCTGACTTTCATACATGACCTTACACAAGGTTTTCTTAAAGCCAGTGTTATGGGTTTTAATCGTAGACTTCTTAGTGCCATCGTGTTTTTTGGAACTAAGAAAATGAATGACACAATGATGTATTTTGAGCAGGTCTGCTATAATCTGACTATTTGACTTGTCAAAAATCTTGTCCAACTGTCCTGTGACCTTATCAATTCAAGATGAGTACTCAAACCTCAGATTCTCTTGTCAATTTTACAGTAATGAAGCCTGAAAAAATACTGTATTTGGGTCAGTACAGTTAGAAAAACAAAAACTCAGGTAGACCAGGCAAACACAATGGTAAACACCATCATGCTTGGGGGGGTGGGGGGATCATGTCCAGCATAAACATACACACACACACACACACACACCAAAATATCAAAAAACTCATCATTCATCCAAGAGTGGTCAAAAAAAGTCACTTAAATACCACAATTCTGAGTGAAAGCTGATGACAGGAAATACGACTTCACTCTAAATCCTTCACATCGTCTACATTTCTTTGTACTAGTCATCAAGCTAAACAACTGGGAGACATACAGAGTTCACTCATTTATATCAAACTGCCACAAGAAATGTAGTGGCATCATTTTTTGTTCTCCCCATTTTCTCACTCATTAGTCATGTAATGTGACAAATGGGTTTAACGTGCAGGTACCACTCTTGTATGAATGGTGCTTAAAAATAATACCAGCCAAATAGACATTTAAATAATTTACGATGTATATACACAATAATCCATCTTATTTTTCCAGCAGTGTATCTTCTTGGCATGTGAATGCCTCTTCTAGTTACCCATCTTTACTTTTGATGTCTGAGGAGGAAAAAAAAAACAAAAAATTATTACAGAATTTAAACACAGTTACAGTACAATCATTGTCTATGCAACGTGCACCTATTTAGAATGTCTTTGCAGTGACATTTCTCAAAAATCTGCAACAATAGTCAGCAAACGAAGCCATTGTTGCAGATATAAGCCATGGATTCCTCTAAACAAAAAAGGAAAGACTGGGAAGACAGAAAAGTAGCCTGTCACCTGCAGAATAGCTACAATGACACCAAACAAGCCAATAGCACTGCCAAAGATTTCCACAATGAGGATCTTCACAAAAAGGCTGGCGTTCTGGGCGTCAGCCAGAGCTGCTCCACTGCCCACGATGCCGACACAGATGCCACAGAAGAGGTTGGAAAAACCCACAGTCAGACCGGCTCCAAACATGGAGTAACCTATTGGTACAGAACGGAAACAAGTCAGAGACAGTCATGACTAATCCACAGCGGAGCTGCTCGCCTGGGGCCGTGATGGTCCAAACGTTAGAGAAGCAAGATAGTGACCGGAAGATTGCCAGTTCAACCCTGCACCGGCAGGATTAAATCTGGGTGGGACCGGTGACAAGGCATTGCTTGCAACACCACTGTGGTGCCCTTGAGCAAGGCCACCATCCCCAGCCACTCCAGTGGAGCTGCTCAGTGGCCACACATCAGTCTGTGGTTGTACCAGTGTGAATGTGAAAAGGAGCTCCCTGAAAAACAGATGTGGCCTCTCAGTGGACCAACCCTGAATAAATAAAGGTTAAAAAAAATACATAACCAGTTTGTCAGAATTTGAAATTAGTAAGATAATATTTAGGCTTAACATTATTTCAAAGCATTCTTGACATCTTGTGCCTCATATTTTACGCACACTGTAGATATTTAACGAATATGGAGTATACATGTTGATATAGCTGTCAAATTCAACTGATTTTATAAAATGCACTGAGCAATCCATATTTAACTTGCATTTGAATTTTCTTAAGGTGTTTATTATTGTTTCTGACCACACCCACTTAATCAAACTTGTAGAGAAAACCAAAGTGAACCCAGCAATTCTGGGTTGTATCCATATACAAAATCCCATTGACACTTGTAACTACAGTAACTAAAACTGTAACCTCTCTCATCAGTATTTTGTGTGGTTCAGTTCAAATGTCTGAATAAGGACTGCAGCTTTTTGCAAAATGATCTAATATTGTTTTTTTGCTGTTCATTTTTTGACATTCGCAGGCTAATGGTCACAACCTAAAAGTCCATGAGATGTGGTTTGCTGACACGTCTGTAATAACAGAAGGACAAAACAGACAGATCACTGTAGATTTTAGAAGGCATGGATTAGACCTAAAAAGCTGATAAACAGAGCGCATCTGTGACTTTTAGAAGACGGCAAGTTCCTACACCGCCATGCTTGTAGTTTATGCTTTTTTTATGTTCAAATCTGAAACATTTACATTTCTTATTCCAATTGTTCAAGTAGATGCTAATTTGTCCTAGGCAATGGAAAATAAAAATCACTCTTTTCAGACAGACTGGTGAAAGAAATGCTAAGTGAGAGACTGTACTGAATTACAGAAGTGAGCAGAACAGACGCTAGTCCAGATGTGGCATCGTGATTTCATACCATTAACCCAACATTCAACTTAGTACCAGATTATACTGACTGTGGTGTCTTATGTATATATGGTACATCAGTTTTAACTGCTGTATTGTCAGTTTGAACTCTGTATTTTACTGACTGCTGTCTGTTAGACAAACTGCCCCTCTGAGGACATTCAAGCTTTACTCTGCTCTACTCATGCATTCAGAAGCTTGTCTGTTTTCTTACCAGCTTGGTAGTTCCTTGCCCCGATGGTCTCAGGCGTGGTTCCAGTGAACCTCTATAAGATTAAAGAGATTATTTTTTTGAATCAAACAACCATCATAGCACTGTTGCAAAATCCATATTAAACTTCTTTTCAACCCAAATTACTAAAGCATAAAATTATGAATGTGCTGTTCTCCTGTATGAAAGTCCCTCTATATCCTTTATGAGGAAATAAAAATAAGCATAAAATGGATAACTGCACTGTTTTCATGATGTTAACCATGAAAAGGCTTATTGCTTACCTCAGCCATGTTGCTGATGACAATGGCCATGATGATCCCATAGATTGCCACAGCTTCACAAAAGATGATACTAGACGGAAAATACAAATAAATAGAATCAAACTATAAGCGATGGGTTGGACCACAGATAAGAACTAATAATACTGCTTCTGTAGGTTTTAGCAACATTTTAATAAGAATGTATATATTTGGGGTGCATTTATATTACATAGACACTAATGCTTATAAACTGCAGTTATAATTTAATTTAAGAGGTATATATAAACATTTTGATACTGTTTTATGGTATTAAATGGATACCACATTTCTCTATGGGGAATGCAACTACAAACAGTATTTCAGTAACCAGGGTGTTTTTTTGTTTTTGGTTAAACCATCATCATTTGGCAGCAACAGTCAAGTACATCCAACTGGATAACACCACACAGCTGAGCAGATATGCATGTTCTTTATGTAGGTAAGTAGATGAGATACATAGATTTAAAGGTGAAGTTATAAACAATGATTAATGTGGAGACAATAAAACTGAATAAAATAGAGGAAAGCTGGACAGAACTGGACTAAACTCTATTATACTTCAGTGAGCCTACCTGACCAAATTCTTGGTTTTGATACGTGGAGCTTTGACACCACCACCAATAATGCTTGAGCCAGTGATGTAGATTCCCCTGGAAAGCAAATTAACAATAAGCACATCATTAAGATCTCAGAAAAGTACCAGGTGATACAAAACAACGCAAGTGCTCAAAAAACAAGGTGTAACCATGCTGCACTTATATGCAGAAGCAACTAGGTTTATACAAGTCTTGCAAACTGTCACTCACGGGACTCTTTTTCCCCAACAATTTAAAGTCTTGCGTGATAGTTAAGGATAGCTTTGAATGGTCGTAACCTCCATGCAGCTGCACATTCATGTGAGCTTGTCTGAAATCCACCTGTGCCATTTTAAAAGTGACTGCACACGATTTTGTGGATATATTTTACCTCCTGCTACTGCACTGTGATGAGAGGATGTGGAGAAAAATATAGAGCCTGAGGTTACTGCATGTCTGGGAATGTTCATGTACAGGGACCTGCTGTTTTACCGCCCCAGTACAGCACCCTGGGGCGGTAAATGATCTGCTCATCAACGCTGGATTCCCCTGGAGCACAGTACCTGTTTGTTTTGACTGCCTGGGGCCAGTGTGTCAGCAGCATGTGATGTGTTTGCAGGTTGGCCAGAGGATTCTAACGTTCCATGATGTTACTGTCTGTGCAAGGCTACCTGGAATTAATTTCACTACTTTGGGAATGTATGTAGGATCAGATCCAAATGCAAAGCCAAACAAGCTCAGACAGTAACAGAAAACCAACCATTTCCAGGATGTGTGTGGATGGCAAACAAATCAGACAGGGTACTAATTATAAATGATGTAAATATTACAAAAGGAAGTGATGTGCATGATAATTTCATGCACGACAAAGAGATCAGTGAGTGAATGTGTAAATCAGTGAAGCACAATTAGTGTCAGGTGTAAATCTGTTATTCAGCTAGGTCCTATTCAGCTCTGCAGCAAGCCCACAATGGCTGAACGGCATCACGAGCCATGTGTGGCTCACAGGCGCCTTTAGCTGTTGATGCAAGTCCCGCACCATTTCCTCTAGTCGCCTCTTATCAGCAGCTGTTCAGCCAGTTCGGCTTGTTGAATGTGCATCAGCGGAAATCTGTGAAAGAGCGCTCTGGCTGGCTGTTCACTCAGGAAAATCAACAATTTCACCCATTTAATGCAGGTTTTCCTATACTTTTAATCTCTGACTTTTCTTCCACAAGCACACAACAAGGTTTATAGGCGAGCAAAGCAAGGCACTTTAAAAAAAACCCAAATAGGCTCAAAATGTTTGGTTTTATTTATGTAGTATTCGTGTCACTGACACTGTTGTATAAAAGAACACAACTCCTTTCAGACACTCGAGTGTTCCTGTATTACTGATTTTAAGATTTTCCACTTCCACATGTACACATAATGTTCTTTCCTGAGTATTTCAAGAAAGAGGAAATTAAGAAGGACCACCACATTTTAGGTTTTCAGCTGCCACCACTGCTTTACACAATAAAATACCAGACAGTGTTCGTTGTTGGGTGCTCACCAGGCAGCTCCCACCACAGACAGAGATATGGCCAAGCCAACGCCCAGAAGGGCCCACATGAAGGGAGAAGTCTCTAACAGGAACCTGCAAGCAAAGAAGTACAGAAAATAAAAACTCTATTTCATGAGTAAACACTGCCAGTGTTTATAGTACATTGTGAAAACTCATGTTTCAAGCAGCAAAATACACTGATGTTTCATTTGTTTTCATGTTAAACTTCTCAGTCATTTCACAGTATGACCCCTTTAAGTTTATGTCAAAAAAAAGAACCACAACATTGCTTATAATGGAGAACTGAATGGCACATTGTATTAATAAGCAAGACAATGATATGCTTCCTGTAGTGGAAACCACAACAACAACAGGCTACCACAAACATTTAGTGGATACAGAGCAATCCATTAATGAAAGTTTCTATCACAGCCCGAAAGTATTTCAGCAAGCCACAAGCAGACATACAAAAAACAGTCTTCTATTATTCACAGCATTATACTGCATCGGTATGAACCGAGTACATTTGGTCTCTCAATTTAGTCATTAGCTAGGATTATACAAACTGTTAAACCAAGTTTGAGATAACTCATAATAGCAAAACTGCATTTTCATCCTCTGTTCTACTTTCAGTACAAAGATGATTTTTGAACTGTCATGTGAAAGCACATCAGTGCCATCCTAACAAGCTATCAAAGGGCAGGCCATGAATGTCACAGAAATACAGCCTAAAACTAGTGTTCAACATAGCACTGCTGCTGTGTTGGAATTGTGCAATCTAGAAAAAGTCACTGTAGCTTTGCCACTGCCATATAATGTCTGTGTAGTACTTTTGCTAGAAGCTCTAAATGGCCTCATCTTAACTGTAAGGACTGCCAGGATGGCTCACACAGTTCTGCTGAAGAGGTGGGCCGACTATCAAACCAAGCAAAATTATCATCCAAAAAAACACACATTTAGCTTCACACTCTTTGATTTGATTTGATTTATTCTTTCAAGCATATAAAACAGTTGATATAACAACACACATTTTTACACACAATCCAATATCAATTTGCTTATACCTAGTACATGCTTGAACCTAGGCTTTTCAAAAGATAGTGTCACATGCATGTGACTAAAGGTGATGGTCCCATTCACACAACAACTGCCAACACAATAACTACATGAAAACTAAGAGACTCTAAAGATCATCAGCACACTTTACAAACCGGGTCCAGCTCTAGAGATACAAATAAGTTATCAGCGTACCAGGAAAAGAAGAGACTCTAAAGATCATCAGCTCTTGAGATATAAATAAGTTATCAGCGTACCAGGAAAAGTCACTCTCTTTTACTTTGTCAGTAAGTAGGCAGTTCTTTGTGAATGAGACAGGTTTGTGCAAAGACTACTTACCATGCCACATCAAAGCGGAACCCAAGGTCAAATATGGTATAGCAGATTCCTAAGGAAAGACAGAAACAAACAAGAATATTCATTCACACGTGACGTGTAGAAAAGCCCAGCCATATGCATATTTGCCCTTACGTTTTAGTGTCTGTGACAGAAACAAGCCTTTATTACATTTAGACCTCACACTTCTACTGATGCTGCCTTAAACCTTTCCCTGCAACATGTGAAAAATAAGGTCACACTGGCACACATAGAAACTGTAGCTTCAGTGTGACAGGTCAGCCTCATGTGCAAAACGCTGCAGTTCCTGTTTGGGACCGATTCAAGTCCATAACAGCTAACCGGCTAGCGTTAGCTTAGCCAAGTCCAGAACAGCTAACTGGCTAGCGTTAGCTTAGCAAGTGAAAAAGACTAAGAAAATGCAATCCAGCACCACATTATTTGCCGAAAGTAAGCGTGAAAGTTGTCAGTATAAATCGCCAATACTGCTGTCCACCGTCTTAACCCCTGAAATTCTCTGCAAACGGTTAGCTTTGAGCTACTAGACACTGGCATACATGCTAACGTGTGTACAAAATTCAGCTTTCCTTCAACGTTAAAACAAAACTTTCGATAGCCATCAGCAATAGTCGTGTTTTGGCGTGCAATTATTATCAGACACGAACAACCGTGTGTCCAAATCTGCGACGGAACCTGACGTTACCAACAGAAGCTAACATTAGCAAACAAAATGGAAACAGGCAAAATCTCTCTAGTCCCATGATTTAGCCAGGCCCCCAGTTACAGCTGTGACACGTAAATCAACGCACTGTGCTTTAAGGAAAGAATGGCTTGCTACGTTATCATTGCTGCACAAGTCTATGAAAAAGATTACTTCATTCATCAGAGTAAATATTCTGACAAATTTTCCAGATAAATACAATCTTACCGATGATAGTTATGGTACTCCAGAAGGCCAATGTGACCCCCGTGTAAAGAATGGCGTGTCCGTTCATCATTCACTCCAACAGCAACTCCGGCGGCCGAACCTGCAAGATTACCAAGATATACTTGGCCCGAAGTTAAAATCTGACACCAATGAGACTGAAATAACGAAATGATTCTCTCTTATGAAACGCTACCGCTCCGTGAAGGAACAAGAGCATCAAAAGCAGAAGTGACACTAGCTGATCCAGCCTGACAAGCATGTGACCAGGCACTGGCTGCGTTCGGTTACGTTTATGTTATCTCCTCGCTGCTCTCTGATACTGCCTTCAACATTAACATTAAATCATGCATGATAAGCCTATACTGTATAAGCTTCGGTATAGCCTATATCTACTCAAGGAGGGATTTTGAATGCAGGACCTTTCTACGTTTTAAAAACCTTTTAAACATCGTTCAGTCAGTTCTTTAACGTAAGGATCTGAATACTTCGTCACAACTGGACTATTACCACAGTATGTAAACAAAATTGTGTTTAGTAATGCAGTATAGACTATGTAAAAATTCAAGCTACAGCTAAGAGGCACATTGTAACCGAATGCGTCCTAGAAGACTGCAGTACAGATAGTTGCCTCCAGATGTCGCCGTGGTCATTTGTACGAGTCACGGTGTTACAGTGTATTGAAAGCAGTTTTACAGGTAAAATCCCTATTAAACATTCACATTTACAAAGACAAGCTCTGTCAACCTGGCTGCTTCTGTGTAATCACATATAGTCTACGTTCTGAGTAACAACAAAGACATGCCTAACAAAAACAAGTCATTTTTTATTTCACTTATTCTTTTTTTTAAATACACCTAGAAAAAAGTTCAAATGATTTAGAGCTGTTGTTCTTCAGATTCAGACTGCCACTTCTCAGTATTTAGACAGCAAGAATTGTTAAAAATGCATCATATTTAATAATCTCTTCTTTTCTACATACCTTAATGGTAATGTAATGGCATGTAGTTAAATGCAGCACTCTACCAACCCCCCAAAAACATGTAAAATGCTTTTATTAATGCTAGGGCTTTCCAAGGGGTGAAAAATAACACAGATGTTGAACCTTGGCTTGAGATTGAAACAAACATAAAGCATATAATTGCAGCCCATCTGAGTGTGTTTAATTTAAAACCTGCATTATAATCTATGACTGTCAAGCTGGAAAGACATGGATATTTATCAAGGTCTAATGAATTGTGCATTATGGGAAATATAGGATAAACCAGTTTTTGACCTTGACCCACAGTATAAACTACAAGTTGTGTCTTCTTTAAAGTACACATTGTATGATTTTTGTCACAAGAAACAAAAATCAAGTGACTAATAATTGTGGGATACATCTGTGATGATAACAATATATATACAGTATATATATATATCTTTGTTAAATGACAGTGAAGAAACAAGGCTGACAACAGCAGTACACTCATTTCTAAAACAGCATTTGCAACGAGACTAACTGCACAAAGCTTTAAACATTCTAGAAGTCTGAGTTCTCCTCTTCATTAATCTCAGGCTTTCTGACAGTTCTTACCTCCAAGAATACTGTCCCCATCCTCATCTAGTAATTCTTGTCAATTTGGTGCAGGCTTCGCCTCTGAGGCCACAGAAGTCATTCAGCTGTAAAAGGTGTCTGCTCTGTCTTCTTATCCATCACAGATAAGAAATGATTTAATGAGTACTATAGACCATGAAGATAGTTATTCAAATTAATTTTGAAGTTATGGATTCTGTTCTTCTCCGAGCCAGATTCTTTTTTAGAATCATTATCATTATTCTGCCCTTGTCAGTGTTATTTCTGTAGAACTCCAAGAATCACAGGCGCTGGCTGACAATAAAATTAGTGGTATCACTGATTAATACAACAGAGGCCAGTTTTGTCACGTCTGATGTTTCAGCATTATGACAAATGTGCCTCACTGTTCGTACGACAACTTAGAAATAGTTGTATTAGCTGTGTACTGATTATAATAAGTGCAGGGCCTTCAAACAGGGGAAAGCTTTTCTAAAACTGGTCTCAGTCGTTCAGTTGCAGATTTTCTGTCACTGACTTATGTTACAAACTGTTCAGTTAACTCTGAGGTAATCCTGACTACATTTACTGTAAGGGAAAGGAGATTTCTTTTGTGTCATCCTGTCATATACACTATATGTAGTTGTCTAAAAATAGCATTTACTGTAAGGGAAAGCAGATTTCTTTTGTGTCATCCTGTCATACACTATATGTAGTTGTCTAAAAATAATTTCTAAAACGCAAGGTAGAAAATGACATTGATCTTTAAGGTTAGATTCCATTCAGAACAGAATCTCCAGGCTGTATCACAGCAGAAAAATGATCTACACCAAAGACAAGCTGCAAAGTGTGTAAGGGACAAGTGTAGTGTAAAATACTGCAATATGTTTATCAAGTCCCTGTAAAAATTACATATTTTTTCTGTTATGAAAAAATTATCTGTGGTTATGAAAACAAGACTGACAGGTCCCTTTGAATCTCTTGACCTACCACCTACAGTCTCCAAAGCCTTCACTTCAGCAAAAAAAAGTATCAAGCTGCGCTTCTCATTCATGTATTCAATGGATACAAATGGCTCATTTGTGTTGCTTAAGAAATTGCTTTAAATTGATATAAAAAAGCTGCAGCCCCATCCCACAGTACCTGCCATTAAAGCCATCAAACACATCCTATTACTCTTAGCCATGTCTATAGTTCTTGATGCTTTACCACTGATGCAAGCTCCCCCATTAGTGTGACGTTTTTAATGCAGCCATTCTGCAGATAAGAGCTTCTTCTATGTATTTTGTGAATGTACTTGATTTTGTGTTTATTTACAACAGGAAATTTTATGCATCTAACCTACTGTCATCCAACGGCCCCATGCTCTTAATGTGGCTGACGTACAATTCTCAGTGTTTTTATGATTCACTTTTATAAACTCAGACAAAAACAGCAGTGTGTTCCTCTATGCCCTTGAGCTATCTACTTCAGAAGGGTCTTGGGATTTTGGCACTGCTAACTGTCTGAGGAGCATACTGTCAGGCTTTGTAAAAAGCAGCAAAAAACACTTCAAAGGACATTTTTCTCTGAAACACTGAAGAGAATTCCTTTACCACTCCCCACTTGGTCTCTTTATTTACATACACAAAATCACTGGGAGTGGCAGAGCAGAGGGCTCATTGCAGGGTGTGCCAGGACTTGTATTAGGTCCTTATCAGTACTGCAGCCTATTGTATTTACAGTTTGTGCTAAATAACAACTATAGGTTTAAATAAAATTTGCACAATGTAAAAATGCTAGTAATATTTATATTATTTATTTATTCATTAGAGATAACAGGTAAAGGCTCACGTTAGGGAGTGGAAATGTTATGGGGGATCCTGCCAGGTGCTTCCCACCTAAGGCAGTCTAGGGGACCCCGCCAAGTGTCTCTCCACCCCCAGCGCCACAGTTCTTTCAGATGTACTTAAGGGTCAATACAAATAATTACTTTTATAAACAGATATCAACAGAATTAGAATTATAAGCCTTTATTGTCATTGCAATGTAAACACTACAATGAAATTGAGGGTGCTAACCCTGAGTGGTGCTATAAGACACATAATAATAAGTTAAACATACAGCAACAAGTGAAAACCTCATAAAACACTATAAAACATCATAATCATTCATCAACAGAATGAGAACTGTCTTTAAGAATGTTGCTGAGGTAGCGAGAAGGCAGCGGGCAGCCGGAGCAAATGTTTGCCAGTAAAAGCAGAAGAGATCAATAAAGAATCTCAACATTCAATCCAATGTCTCAGAAATTTCAAATCCAAACTTCTTTTTTACTATAGTATGATATTTTTGCGATGGAAACCTTCGCACAAACAAAGCAGAACATGTACCCTTTTATGGCAAATTTAAGGCTGTTGATTATACTAATGAATACTTCTCACAAACATGCGCTTCCTTAGCAATGGGGCGTATTTATCAGTGTGAAACGAGTGATTTACAGTACAACAGGTTTATCCAGTTATGGTGGATCTGACTTGCAACACTAGTATAAACAAACCTCAGGAAGAGATAAGAGAGGCTTAGGAAAAGATTACAAAATATTCTTGCATGAGGTCCAGTGTTTGAAGCAATATTTGACTTTGGTAGACCCTAGTTTTCTTGCCCATCTAAGGAATAATAATTCATCTTGTTTTGAATTATTGTCTGCCTTTCACCAAGCTATAGCCATTAATAAATCACATGCAGCTAGCTTCTGTTTGGGCTGTAACACTATACTGTTCATTAATTATCCAGACCTCTAACACAGACCTCTCTGCTGTGCCACCACAGGAGCTGGTAAAGCTGTCTACATACAGTACTGTATGTCATTACAGTGACACTAAGTGGTTTTGCACTTCGCTCATCAACGTGCATGTCTATTTAATTAAACCTCAACCTTCTACTCACTTCATCTGTATTGTCTGTGTTCACGCTTCTAGGTTTCATTCTGCTGGATGCTCTCCAGGGTCAATTTGACCTCCATCCCTTTTTTATCTGCTCCCTATATAACTACATATTTCATTCATTAACGTCCAAGCACTGTTCACCTAACTCTGACAACTCTGAGCAACATTGATGTTTTTTTATGTTGAAATAACCTTGAGCAAACATAGCTGTTTTCATAGGTTTTATAGTGAGATTGTAAAACAACGTACCCAGTACATTTCCCCCAGAAAACATCGTGACTTTAATTATCATCTACTTCCATGTTTGAAGAGACTTGTTGGTTTGTATCAGCAATGAGATATTGGGGCACAGCTGGAACATCATCATTTAGTTCCACTGCTAGAAACTGAGTTGTGCTTGTAATTCATTTCTTAAATTGTGATATCACCACTATAGCAGCTGAATGTTTCTCTTCATAGAGAACAGTGTACAATACTTCGCATTTTCAATTTACAGTAGATCAACATCATCAGTGAGCCTTGGGCGCCCGTGACCCTGTTGCTGGTTCACCGTTTGTCCTTCCTTAGACCACTTTTGTTGAGTATTGAAAACTAAGCAAGGTGTTATAAACCTCCCATCTATTCCGTGCTTTTGGGAATTAGCCTGCAGACTGAGAGCTGGGTCTTATCACCAACCTCACCAATGAGTTCCTGGCTGAATGACAAATTTCTGCTGCTAGATCCCAAAATCTGTTAGTAATGAATAAAAACAGAACATTAGATTTATTTTATGTGACCCTATCAGCACTAATGTTCATGCATGCAGCTTAAAACACATCTCTTTA